CGCGATCGTTTTCCATCCGAGCCGAGATCGGCAGATTCGCGCGGCGGTCGTTTCCGCGCGTCGCGATTTTTGTCGAATATAATTGAAGAATCGATCGTCGCATCTTTCCAAGACTTTCCGAGTATAGAAGAAGCTGATCAAATTTCGTTGCGGATATTTAAGTGACAATTGCGCGTTTCTGATTGCGGTAAAGAAAATAACAATTTTGCTCGAAGAACGTGCTCTTATCCCGGAGATCTTTGGAATCGGGGGTGTATCAATCTTAAAGATGTCTTCCGATTTAATTTACTCGCGAACACACATAATAAACGGAAGGGGGAATGGCAATATTCGCGGAATTTGCGAAGGAACGCGCTATGTCGCGGCAGAACGCGACGTTTATAGGCGAACGGCCGTCCGTAAGGATATCTCGTGCGTGGATATATATTGGCCGAGCAAAAAAATTTTTTCACTGCCCGTCCGGTCCGGCTACTCCTATCGTTCGGTTGTGCCGCGAAAGCTATATAACGTTTCCTTCGCCGCTAGTGCGCGCCGCTCGTAAAAATCGCGCATTGTGTTTGGCTGGAAGCGGAAAGATGCGCTCGTCTCCGTTCGTGGCATTGTTTTCCGTCTTAGAATATCGCCCACCCCGCCGACTATTCTTTTTATCAGTAAATCGCGTTGCGGAATAGAACTCTCTTGCAAGGAAATATCTCGGAAATCAGATTTTTTTTTTTGCCGGGAAATTTGTGTGCGCATCAATTCGAAATGAAATAAACAATTATTTATTCTTCGACTATTCGAAGTATATAACGAGAATCTAATTGCACGACGCGTAAGCACTTTCATCTCTCGATTCTGAACTCTGTGAACCTTTATCTTAACAATCTTTACTCTCTCTCTCTCTCTCTTTCTTCGAGACTACAAAACTTCTATTTTCTCTTTCGACTCTCGACTCTCAATTGCAATAAAACGAGAAATACATAAAAAAAAAAAAAAAAATTACACTCGAAGATACACTCGAGATCTCAAAGAAGTTTTTGCGAATCGACGAATTGCGTCGTATACTAGTTACACGAAGAATCGATCATATTATAATAGTCGACGGTTGCTAGGAAAATAATTACGCTTGAGCGCGCGCTTCTTCGAGGTAAGAAACACGAAAAAGCAAAACGTATTACTCCTAATCCCGAACGGCATCCGCGCATATCGTGAGCCAATTTTTTTTTTATTTTTTTTTTTTTGTTTTTCGGCGATTCGACCGAGCTAAATGCGGTCGTTAGCCTAGATGAGTAAAAATTTAGAACGTAGCGCAAAAAAGCGCAGCAACTTTCCCACGTTTTAAGGCCCGTAAATCACGACGATAATCGGACGCGCATTCCCATAACGCGGGGACGGTCGCGGCGACCGTCGCACGCGAAGATCGTCCGGAGAATTATTATAGGCAAACAACTATTTTCACGGCGATGCTACCGACGCAACAGCTGAAAAATCTCGGCGCGCAATCAAAATTCTCTGTGCATTCCGTAAATTTCCAAGTTTGCGTGCACACGTGTGCAAATGTTTGTGCGTATAAAGAAAACGCGTGGAAAACTAGCGCGTAACGAGCGCAAACTTTAAAAGTGGAATATGAATAATTTGCCGATCGCCTTTCGAAAAAAATCACAGCCACCGCAACGTCGATCGACATCACGAATCACACTCTATTGAAAATTTGAACAACTTATCACGTGAGAGATACTTTTTTTTTTTATATCGTTTTACGTATTTTTTAATTTTTTCCGATATAACATGTGTTTTAAACCAAAAACATCTATAAAAGATTTTATATTCAAAATATAATAAACTTGGGAAAAAAATATGATTGTATTTTAATTACACCCGATAAACAGAATTTGTCCGTGGTTGAAATACTTTTTTTTCGAAAAATTTGCATCTAGAAATAAGTTTAATGATTTTCAAAATTATTCAAGAATGATAATTCGTTCGTATGTTAACCTGATTAGCTTTATGTAAGAGCGTAATAGCGTGAAGTAAGACTTTGAAAGCAGGTTAAACATCATGAGATAGTCGAAAACTAATCATAAACGAACTTCGGGGGACGAAAAGTTTCGCTGTTTGTAGATATCACCTTATATACGTCCCGCACACAAAGTACACACGCATATCGACACACGTGGCGCGAACGCACGCGAATGGAAATAGGGCGTGCAACTCGCTCGCCGTGTTAATAGACGTACTTACTCCGCGAGCCCATGTGCGAATATCAGAAGCATTAATTTTCGAAATTAAATACTTGATGGCCTGTTTCACGTTAATCATACAACTGAAAAGAATTAAATGCAACGTGCCCTCTATCAATTAAATTTCAATTTTCTTAACTACAAGATTTCCCTAAAAGTAAAAGCGTAAATTATTGTCGCATACTTTTTTCAATTTCATTATTCAAATTCTTCATTCAAATGTTTGATTTCGCACACGAGCGAAAAAACCATATTATTACGTATTACAAACGGTTTTTTTTTTTTCTATTACCAAGTGTCTTAGAACTGTCACATTTAAACAGTTCAAATATTTAAATGTTTAAATTTTTAAGAGCTACACTCCCTCCCTCCGTTTGAACTTCGGAATTTACGGCTTTGACAACAAAACTGTATATAAAAATACACATTACCGGCTCGCGAATTACTTGAGCTCGAAAGAGTCTTGTTACGTATAAATAGCGCAGATAAACAAACGTCTCGCGTATTAAATATTAATGCCCGTCGCACGTCATTTTGACGTGCACTGATATCGCGAGCCTGATAAAACTTCACACATATCCGCTGCTGAATATATGCCAGAAAATCGCTACTACGACGAAGGTCATTATAACGCGCTCACGTATAACCGACAATTTGTCAGTTCGAATTATTCCGGTTAAATGCCGCACGAGTGGCAATAGCGCGTTAATTGCGTATCGCGCGTTTTATTGCAACGCGCATTACCTCATGCGTTCGCGAGAACGGCGCGCATAATTTAAATTCCACAAAAGCTTGAAAAAAAGCTTTGATCGCTTTGCTACCGAGAAACGCACTTACGTATCTCGAATTGAGAGATTCGACATTTTGTGTTACAAATAAAAGTTCCGGAGCTGTCAATCGGTTAGGCATCGACGTGCGCCAGAGAACCAAATGAAAATATCACCAAACTTATACTAGTGTTAATTTCCAACGAGTAAATTCGGACAAATTTTGTGTTTCTATTGAAAACATTGTGTGTAAATGTCAATCTGCTCAAAACTTCTTTTTTTTTTTTTAAACTGTTTTACGCGAAAAGTCCGATCCGTGACACTCTTGTGTTCGATTTGATATTATCGAAGATTTGATGACGACATATCGAAAGCAGACGGCTGTTCCGCGTGAAATCTGCTCCGATATATCGATTCTATCGATTCAATATGTTCTCCGTGCGACAACGGAAAATACGAAATCGGTACTCACCGATAAAATTTATGACGCTGCTCCCTTTCCCACGACACTGCCGGGTTGTCTTTCTCTTCCTCTCTCAATCCGACACAGTCGAACCCGCGAACCCAGGTTCGCGGCTTGGCACGGGAAGATCACTGCACCGCGATGTTTATATATATATGTGTGTGTGTGTGTGCACGTTGGAGAAGAACGGTATATAATAATGCACTCTGTGCGCGCTCTCGATCTCTCGAACGACGGGGAAAAACGGATGTCATACACTGTTACGTTATCACTGTCAATCGGCGAACGCGACGCGACGCGATCTCCTATGCGAATGATACTCGGCACCGCGTCGTTCGCACCTGCGACCACCTGCCGAACTGCCAGCTATGTTTACATCGCACGAACAAAGATGGGAAGGGAGAGGGAAGCGCGACGAAGGTCAGAGTGCGCGACACAAACGTACCCGTCGCCTCGGCGTCCCGCGAACGAGTGCGAGAACGCGCGCGCGCACGCTCTCGCCGCGGCACCAAGTCAGCCGACGATGGGGAAGAGCGCGCGCGGGTGGGGAAGTAAGTGCCGTGCCGCGCCGCTCGTTTACCTCCGTGCCGGTGAACGGTACACCTTTTTCCATTTCGCTCTTCTCTATCTTATCCGGTCCCCGAGGGCCCCATGGGGTCTTCCGCGCCGCAGCTTTTTAAAGGGGGGACGCAAGGACGGCTCCCTTCCGCGGGAAGTCAGGCCTGATAAGCGCGATCGGGTCGCGTCTCGCTTTGTTATCGTCGTGCCACGGGGGATGTTATCAAAGCTACTATTTTGCTTGTACAATCTTTTACTGATTTGTTGTTTTTTTTTTATTATGTTTGTTTACGCGTATTTTGGATGTCTCGAGATATCAATATCAAAATATGTTACTCGTATTTTTTAATCACCTTTTTCTGCTATTCTCTTTTGATAATGTACTTGCGATAGCAGTTTTTTCAATAAACGGAAATGTTCCGTTTCTTCTATCGTAGTAAATTGAACGTATTTCGCGTAATATCTATTATTGAACATGTAAAAGATTGTTACTTTTTAAAACATAGTCTTAAGAAATCAACAATGTTTTTTTTGCACGCATTGTTACGATGACAGTTTTTTTTAATAAAAAAACTATCACACACACGCAAAAATATTTCGGAGTTTCTTTTATGGAAAAAAGTGAATATATTTCATCTACTGACATGTAATGTTGTTTTTGAAACAAGAGCCTGAAGAGAGAGAGAGAGAAAACGCCAATGTTTTTTAACTATGTACACGCGATTACGATTTTTTAATAAACAAATGTCCCAAAACTTTCTTTTTTGTGGCAAATTGCGTGCAAACGTTAACGCGCAGATGCAAGTTCTTGCGATTACTGTTGCATAAAAGAAACTATGTATCATAGTTTTTTTTTTGACATAACACATATATATGTAACGCTTTAATATGCATATTTAATATCTAATCAAATGACAATTTTACGACGTGTGCGTAACTCGTATAAGATGACTATTATCGCAAAGTCATCCTGAAAAAAAAAGATTCTAGTCTCTCTCAGAGAGAACATTTATTTAATGATATTATATACACATATATAACGACAACACAATATGTGTGATCTTGCATAAAAAGCAATCTATACATACTATATTTACATAGAAAATATTTATACAACTTAAAACTTTATTTATGAGGTGGCCAAGTCCACTGGTTGGACGGTGCTTCCTCGATTAATTTCTCCCATGGTTTCCACAATACCATCTTCTCTGCGAGCGTCATCTCATTTCTAGCTTGTACAATAAGCTCTTCAACTTGTCCGCAGTTAATTTTATTTTCAATAGTTGGTATATCAGGATTCTGTGTGCAATATACGCGATCTCTTACAGTTTTGTAATATTTACGTTAATTAATTTTTATCATTTAGTGATTGTCAAGACTTACCTCTCTCACGATCTTTAATCTATCCTTGACAATTTTCTCCGTTTCCTTCCTATAAGCGTAGTCATTTGGCATCTTTTGTAAGACACGCAGAATTCTATTGTATAGCGGAACTAATTCCAGATGAGGATTCTTACAAACAGCAAGACCCGTTAAATTTGTACTCTGTACACAAAAATACAAAAGTATATTTTCATGAAGTAAATACATTCAAGAGTTTCGCAACAATTCTAGAAGATTGTATTTAACGTAGAGCGATTTGCGACACACATTCTAATTAAAATATACACGAGATATTTCATCACTAAATTACCTTTTTCAAAACACTTGCCATCGTCAGTACTGTTACTCAATTCGTGAGATAAAAGACGTATTCACTCACTTTACGTTTTCTAACCTGAAAATATCTACTCACACAGCTCAGGACTGTCCTACAATAACGGCTATGACCATAGACATAGAAATAAGGAGACGGGGCATAAACTCTTACTTTAGACCAGAAAGAAGACTAAGAGCGGCCGGGGCCATATGATAAACTGTAAAGAGCCGTCTACAATGGAGAGTTTTAGACCGTAACAGTAAGAAATTGACAAATCACAATCGATTATTCTTCTGTACTTTGTCCGTGATTGGTCAATTTCTTACTATTACGGCCTACAACTCTCCATTGTAGACGGCTCTTAATAGCTTTTCGCCCCGTAAACTAGCGCAAGTTCACGTGTGGTGCACGTTGGAACTACGTAGCCATGTCTACGAGCGACATGTCGGTACGCTATGTCCACAGCGTGCGGTTCTATTCTGTGCTATGTGCACGAGTTTAAATGGTCACTTTCTTTAAGTGTGTGAGTATTATACATTTCTTAGTTCTCTTTAAAGGAAGAGAACATTTATTACATGTCTTAATTCTCTTTAAAGGAAGAGAACAAATGAGAATTAAGACATGTAATAAATGTTCTCTTAATTCTCATTTGTTCTCTTTCTTTAAAGAGAATTAAGACATGTAATAAATGTTCTCTTCCTTTAAAGAAAACTAAGAAATGTAATAAATGTTAAATTTTAATACGAAAGAATGTGTGTGAAAAATAAACGTGTTATGTTCGACTGAGGTGTTTTTCCAACCGGCGAGTGTTTTTGCGCATAGTGAGGGATGCGTGCGCTCTATTCACAGCGCAGCACGTAGCCTCAGATCTCGTCGATCTCTCAAGTGTAACAGACGTGTTGTCGGGTTGTGCGCGATTCAAAATTTTTCTTTTTCATCATGACAAGTTCGTACGCAATTTCGTACATAAGTGAATTTCTTCGTGAATTAATTATATAATTTTGTTCTCGTAAATACACCGCGTATATATCGCGATAAAATATTTCGCGTATATAAATTATTAGTCTTCCGCTTCGTCATTTATTTATTTTGTAAAATAATTATTCTAATACATAAAGAGATATATCGATTCATGTAACGACATTCATTTTTTTGTTACATATTATATATAACATATATTAGAAATTATATTTTTTANTTCAATCTTCAGAAGAATTTTACAATACAATAATTAATATTTTACACATTAGAGTTTCGTTAATACTCTTTATTAAGAAAATCGCGGTAAATCTATAACTTCTTATCCATTTTCGAATTCTTCTCTCTGACAGTTTGGGTGCAAGCGGTACCATTGTCACCTTAACTGTCATTGAGAAGAGTTCGGAGGTGAATAAACTTTATAGATTTTTTTATATTCAGTAGTTCTTGTGTTGACTCTCGATTTTAAAGAGTGGTTGTGTTGTAAAATTCTCTGTAAAATTCAAATAAAAAATATATTTCCACATATNATGCTATAACATACATATAACAAAAAAATGTGAGTTACGTGTAATCGTAATACATCGTTTTATATATTTAAAATACTTTATTTTACAAAAAAACAAATCTCGAAACAGCAAGGTAATAGTTTGATATACGTGAAATTTTTCATCGTGAATTAACNTCTAACATTATCAAAAGCAACTTTTAAAGAAACTATGAAAGAAATTCACTTAATCGCGCGTGTGTGCGCGTGTGAAAGTGGTCAAGTGCCACAGAAGACAATCCGGACAATATTCCTGTGGACTTTTGGTGACGCTGATGGCGGTGTTTGCAGTATCGGAGGAGCCGGTTCGGGCAATAAAATGCTGGCACGAAGGTATATTTCTGTTTGTAATATTATATATCTTACATATAAAAGTATTAAAATACATTCAATTTTCTTCGAAGTTCTTATTCTAATGATAGACTTTTATTTTGTTACAGAATGTTGTTGTCGCAGTAAGTGGCCAGCGCACGTGAGTAGACTTTTAGGGTAGGTGATGGGTTTCTTAAAAATCAGTGCGATACATAGTTTTTACTTATTTATCTCAAAGCGTCGAGAAAAAATAATTATTTCAAAGATAAAAATATAGTTTTCGGGCTGTGATTATAGATTTAAATTAAATTTACTTATAGAAATTAGAGAATAATAAAGATTAATAAAGTATAATAAAGAATAATAAAGATATTTATGAGATATTTTATATCATTATCAAAAAGATATATTTGCTACTCTTTTCAAACCAATTCAGATTCTTGCTTCATGTAAGTTATTTTCTGTAATTATTTAATACCGTAATGTAATTATTTTATACCGGTTTTTTCTCGACGACTTCTCATTTTCAACAAATTGCGAACGTTTCGTTCGCCTTGCGTCAAAATCGACGCCTTGGACCTCGCAAATGCGAGGAAATAACGCGATCGCGGTCGTGTACGCGGTTTTAGATTTCGCGAATTGTTTTATTTAAAACTTTTGCTATTTTTTCACTTTTTGTTTATTGACATCGATTAAAGAGTAGATTTTCCGCGAGAATTTTACGATAAAGTTAGATATTTTAGAAACTATCGAAAAGCATATCGGGAAAGAATAACATATTTATTTAATTTTGACGACTTAGCGTTACTATTACCGCGAGTTTTAGTTTTAATACGAAAAAATTAACGTAGAAATTTTGATTGATCGCGTTTTACTTAACTTTAATTTAGATTTCGAATGTGTAGATGTATCGAATTTTTCACTATGTTTTTAATTTTCCTTTTTCGATCCGTTCCGTTTTCGATAAACAATTTTCGCAAAAAAATTGCGGACTGATGCTTCGTTAAAGTAACGAAGCAAAATACTTCGCTGTGCTAAGCGGAGTAATTCTCGCAAAAGTTGCGAGACTGTTTTTGCGTAAAAAGTACGTAAATATTACTATTATAATTAAAACCGCAAATTCCGTTTTGTACTAACAAAATAATCAATATTATAACTTTGATTTTTGATTATAACTTCGATTTTTAATTATAACTTTGATTTGAGATTTACCTAAAATCCGTGCGACATATTTTAGAATATTTTAAAACTTATATAACTTATATAACTTTCATTCGTTTTATAATCACTTATTTTGACTTCTTATTACTTATTTTTCATTCTGCATTTTTTTACATACACACTACCTATCCTATACCTTTTCTATATCAAAAAAAAGAAAAAAAAAAGAAAAAAAACAAGAGAATATTGAAAAGTAAGATTCCCTAATTTATTCTTTTTTCCTTTTTATTTACCCTCCTTCACCCTTTCTACACATACTTTAATATTTAATATTCTTTAATATTTAAACATAAAGTCTTAGAGTCGCGAATAAAATTCTATTTTTTTCATTTAACTTTTTACTTCATTTTTATTATTCTTATATTCTATCTTTTAAAATAATTATATTCTATCTTTTAAAATAATTATTTTTCGCGTTATTTCGGAATTGTGTTTTAATTTTTATCTATCAACTTTTTTAAAAGTAAAAGTAGAGTCATTCGCGATTTCGCGGTTTTCGCGTCATATTACAACAACGGGGCCACCGGTAAGTTTAAACGTGGTCCCGCGTCGTGGGACTACGGTCATCTCGTCGTGGGCGCGCACCCTTCGCATCGTGGGACAGAAAAGGTAGGTTCCTGATTACTACGTGGGACTGGAGTTGAAGATACAGCGATGGACAACGATGGACTACGCGCAACGGTACGTTATTATAAATAATTTATTCTTCTCATATAAAAAGCACCTCACTGTTAGAAAGGTTGCTTTTTTATATATATTATCTTTAAATTTGTA